CCCCCCCGTCCAGTAGTGGAGAGGGGAGGGGGTAGAGTTGCCAGATCCAGGCCTTGATGGGACACATGTCCAGGGATGGTGACTTGAGGGATCAGCAAACAGAGGCCATACCTGGTAAACAGGGGCCAGGCGGAGCGGGTGAAGCCTGAAGCGTGAGGGTGCCCCCTCTCCTCCCTTGGGCCATCCTTGGGGGCCTCTCCCTTCTTGCCAGAGTTTATCCGCGGGTGGGTGGGTGGGTGCTCTGCTGCCTGGACAATTTTTTGGAGGTATTCTTAGGATTCTTGGGCCATGCTGTGCTGTTTCTCCCGTCCCCTCTTTTGGTGGTTCGCCCCGCCGGCATTGGGAGCTGCTGCACTTCCACTTGAGAGCCAGTTTGGTGTCGTGGTTAAAGTAGGCGGACTCTAATATGGGAGGACCAGGTTTGGTTCCCCACTCTTCCTCCACTTGCAGCTGCTGGATGACCTTGGGCAAGCCACAGTTCTGGTCAGAGCTGTCCTTGAAAAAGAGCAGTTTCTGTCAAGAGCTCTCTCAGCCCCACCCGCCTCACAGGGTGTCTGTTGTGGGGAGGGGAAGGGAAAGGAGATCGTGAGCCGCTCTGAGTGGAGGGCGGGTATGGGTACACAACAGTGGGGTATAAATCCAATCCAATCTCTTCTCCTCTTCTTTTTCCAGGGAGAATGCCTTGCACAGCATGGGAACAGGCATGGTTATGTTTCCCAGGGGACACTGTGCCGCTCGGGGGTTGGGGACTTCCTTGACAGCTTGTGGCTTTGAGGTCCCTTATCTGCATCTCCCAGCTGTGCCCGCTGCTCTGTGGGCACCTTCCAGCAGTGCCCCTGCTGTATGCCCACTGGAGTGCACCAAGCGATTGCTGGAGAGCGATGCCCCCTTATTGATTGATTTAACTTAAACAATTTCCTTTAAAAAATTAATAGGAATGTTATGCAGAAAAAAGAGAAGGAAGGGTTAATATTAAAAGGAAAGTCCGAATTAAAAAAGAACTAACTAAAAGACTTCCTATTAAACCAAAACCAATTCATAACTGTTCTGATCATCTTCCCTGCAAACTTTAACAGCCATTTCCTTTCTACTAATTGGTAAGTAAATTACCACAAGTTTAATGTCTGTCCTAGAAAACTCATTTTTTTTAAAAAAAACCCCCAAACCTTAATTCATATTTTACTAACAATCACACAAGTTTAGTCACATGAACACACAATGAAGCAGCCTTACACTGAATAAGACCCTTGGTCTGTCAAGGTCAGTATTGCCTACTCAGACTGGCAGCAGCTCTCCAGGGTCCCAGTCTTTTCCCATCACCTCCTGCCTAGTCCTTTTAACTGGAGATGCCGGGGATTGAACCTGGGACCTTCTTCGTGCCAAACAGAGTTCTGCCACTGAGCCCCGGCCCCAGCCCCAGCCAGTCTGTTCTTCAGGTTTACCGTAATTCTGTTCCATTAATTTATGAACAGAGGCCACCTTTGTACACATAACGATTGCACTCATCTATTTCCTTCTCTCAATTGCTTGCAAATGGTGATTTTTCTCCCTAAACAGGGTTAGCCAGTATTTCCCGAGTCAGATTTCAAGAGAAGGTAACATATTTTGTTCCCAGGGGCTTGCCACTAGCAACCTTGCAGCCACAACCAGATTTCTTGGAGCATGCCCACAATTCTCCTCTAAGGATTCCTCCATTTGGCCGAATGTGTATTGATTAATGAATGAATGAATGAATTAGTGGTATTTGGTGCCTGGGCTTTGGCTGGGAGAGCTGAACTCCCCGGCCTTCCCGTCTCACCCGTGCAGCAGCCTGTGGGAGCCGGACAGGATTGCTGACCCCGGTGGGGGGGGATGGGGTGTGTGTGTGTGTTCCAGGTGAGAGCGTCCCAGTGACCAAGACCGCCCTGCCCCACACGGAGAACACCCTCCCCTGGAAGACGCACAGCGTGGGGGACTACCGGCGGCACGTCCTCTTCTGCGGCACAGAAGTCATCCAGACCAAGCAGACCATCAAAGGGTCCCCCAGAGCCGTCGTGTTGCAGACGGGTGAGAGGGGGCTCCTCGCTGGAGGGGGGCGCGGGGGGGGACTGCTGAAGCTGCCTCGAACCAGGTGGAGCAGAAGGGCCACGGAGAGGAAACGACCACCGCTATACAGTTGAGATGTCCTTGCCCCCATTCAGCACCGGAACCGGGCAGGAGAGACAAGCTGACCCTCCAGGGAGCCATGCTCGGGGCCTCTGAGAACATAGAGCCCTGCTGGGTCAGACCAGTGAGGGTCCATCTAGCCCAGCTTCCTGTCCCACATAGAGTCCAGCCGGTTCCCCTGGAACTGTCAGCTTAATTGGGTACCTTCAAGTTCTACTATTCTGGGAGAAGGAGAAAGAATTCTCTCTGTCCACTTTCTCCACTGAAGAAGAAGAAGAAGAGATTGGATGTATGCCCTGCCCTTCACTCGGGGCCTCAGAGCGGCTTACAAACTCCTTTTCCTCCCCACAACAGACACCCTGCGAGGTAGGCAGGGCTGAGAGAGCTCTTTCGAGGACTGCTCCTGAGAGAACAGCTCTGACAGAACTATGGCTTGCCCAAGGTCATCCAGCAGCTGCAAGTGGAGAATCAAACCCAGTTCTCCCAGATTAGAGTCCACGCACTCAACCACTACACCAAACTGGCTCTCTGAGTGCATCATTTTACAAACCTCTCTCATGTCTCTACTTAGCTTTCTTTTTTCTAAACTGAAAGGTCCCCGACTCTTCGGCCTTTCCTTGTAGGGAAGGTGCCGCGACCCTCTCATCAGAAAGGGTGCAAGTCCCCCGTGCGACGTTTTGTCAAGTGGCAAAATAACAAGTCAACTTGACAAAATGAAACAGACTTGCATAATGGATGTGCCCAAAGTAGATTTTCCCACTTTCAAACGCTAAACATTCCAGCCCTTTGACAGAAGGAGCAGCGTCAGGCTGCTGAGGCTTCCTTGGCTTCCACTGTCCCAAGAGGCCTCTAGGGGAGAGGGGCCACAGCATCCCACCCGTGGCTGCACCCGCCGTCCCAGGGCCCCGGCAGACCTCAGCATTCGGTGCCAGCACCTCCCGTCTCCCTGTGGGGGGCCCTTTCCTGCCTCCAGCTGCCCTGATCCGCCTGGCCTTGGCGCAGGGGAGAGCTGAGCGGCTGGCGGTGCTGCCCCTGCGCTCGGCCTCCCTCTGTGAGTGACCCTCCTTCCTCCCAACGGGGCATCTCGCTGCAGGCTTTAACACGCGTCTCAGTGACCTCCAGCAGCCAATCTCGTCTTTCTGTGTATACGTATGCAGGCTTTAACACAGCGAAGGGAGACCTGGTGAGGTCCATCCTCTACCCGAAGCCCCTGAACTTCAAAATCTACAGAGACGCCTTCAAGTTCATCCTGGGCCTGCTCGTGATCGCCGTCCTGGGCATGGTCTATGCCATCTACGTGTACACCAGCCACAAGGTGAGGGTGGGGGAGAGGGTGGGGGTGGGAAGACCCCCCCCCGTGATGGAATTCAAGGTTTGTGTAACTGCAGCAGGTAAATGCGAGAGCTGCAGAGTCCTGTGACTGAGAGAGGTGGGGGCCAAAGTGCTCAGAATTCTCCGTCGGGTAACCAGAGAGCTCTGAAGAGAAGTAACCCTCTGAGCTTCGTGGAATCAGCCAGATAGCAGTTTAAGTGGAAAACCGTGGCTGAAATATCGCTCTGCGTGACTGGTACCCCCTAATATAAAGAGGAGAGTGTCGAGAGAGTGAAAAGTATAAGACCTCAGTGGTCACAAACACCAGATACACCACTCCAAAGGAACTTACAAGGTGGCTAAGGAAGGGCCAAGGGTCTGGAGAGCTGGGCTTGGTGCGCCAGTAGACTCGGGAGACCAGGCCAATAAAGCCCAAAGGTCGACCACAAAGCAGTTACTGGAGAGTGGGATCATAAACGGGTTTTGTGTACTGAAGAACATCTGTGTCAGACTGAGAGTCATAAGCTTAAAGCCTATGTCAAGGCAAAGTATAAAGTGTCTATTCATCAAAGAAACCAAATATCCCGTGTAAATCTATCCCGTCCCCCTGTTGAGTTTTCTGTGTAATAAAGAACTGTGCTGTTTGACTTTTCCAAGCACTGGTGCCTGACTTTCTGGTAAAGAAGTATACTGGGTGGGTAGTTGTCCTCAGTGCATCCACAAGTCACACCAACCCCGAAGAGACTACGTGGAAATGTGAACGGGTCAGCCATCAGAAAGTGAAACTGATCAGTCACATCAGTGTAAACTAAACTGAATCCAGTACAAATAAATGGATATATATAAGCAGTGATGCTACAGCTTGGTCACGGCAACGGCCGGGGAGAGGTCATTGTGTTATGCCCCCAGAGCCTGGGAACGTGAGGGGTTTGTGGCTGGGCAGGACCTGGGTTGCCGAGGGCTAGGCCAGGCCTTTTGCACAATCTCAGGGTTATTTGGGTAGAGTGCCAGATTTTTGGGGGGAGGGGGGAGGAATTGACTGCTCCCCAAATAGGCTTGCCTGGTGAGTTCGGGGGACAATCTGTCTGTTGCACCAAATAGATTGCAAAAAACAAAACCTGAGATCCAGAGTGAAGTCCCAAGAAGCAAAACCAGCCATGCAACCGGCGCTTCCATCAAAAACTTATATTGGGAAAACAGGAGCCATGGGGGGGGGGGTTCTCTGTCCCCTCTCAGGGTCGCAGCGCACTGCTTTGTGTTGTTTGGGTTGGTCCTAGCAAAAGGTGTGAAATGGACTTTGTTTTGTAAAGAGACAGAAGATCTGATCGTGGATGTCCAGCGCTTTCCTCCTTAGGCTTTCGGCTGGGGTTTGCCTGAGCCCCTCCTCCCTCTCTCCAGGGGACGAGCTGCCCCGGGCCCAGGCTTCCCACCCCCCAGGGCATGATGGGGCAGTGCTCCATCCTGAACACCTGCCCACTCTCTTCCCCCCAGCAACCTGCAGATGTCACTCTGGCCATGGCCCTCCTCTTCCTGACGGCTCCCATACCCCCGGCCCTCCCGGCCGCCATGACCACTGGCAGCGTTTACGCCCAGCGGAGGCTGAAAAAGAAGAAGATTTTCTGCATCAGCCCACAGAGGATCAACATCTGTGGGCAAATCAATCTGGTGTGCTTCGACAAGGTGCGCAGGAGGGAAGGCGCTCCCCGGGGTTGGGCAGGCCGGTGGGGACGGGGCGGAGGGAGGGTAGTTTGGCTGTCTGGACCACTTCAGATCTGCCCCCCAGTCCTTGGGCTGGGCAGCGCTCTCTCTCTCTCTCTCTCTCTCTCTCTCTCTCGCCTCCCGCTGGCAATGCTCCCTCTAAGCTGTGGAGTCTTGTGAGCAAAAACTCTACTTTGTGCGCTCCTGGCATTAAAGTTGTGAATGAGCAATTTGGCTGCTGTATCATCAATTAGTTTGCTCTGGAACCCCATCCTTCCTGAGCTCAGAGAAAAAAGTGTGAGCCGGAGGCTAAAAGACTGAGCTGGCTCACACGAACTCAGCTTAGAGGGAACACTGCCCACTGGCAATAGGGGGATAAAGTCACAAGCCTACCCTACAGGTCTGTGGTCATGACTGAGAAAATTCTCCTTTTTTATTTACTGCTTTTATACCCCCCTTTTCTCCCCCCCCCCATGGGGACCCCGAGCAGCTTACATCATTCTCCTCTCCTCCGTTGTAGGCTCAGTACAACCCTGCGAGGTAGGCGGGGAGCCAGACGGAGAGCCAGTGGGATGTCATGGGCACGGGGTGGGGTTCCTGGCCTTGAAGACCCACGTCTGCCAGGGAAGCCTTGGCCTTGCCAGCCTGGCTGACCTCGCAGGAGTGTTGTTGCAGGAGAATGGAGGCGGGCAGAACGATGTTCTAAAAGCCGCTTTGAGTCCGAGATGGAGAGGAAAGTGGGGTATAGAGGAAGAAGACCCTCCTTAGGCTGAGAGCGCGTGGGCCTGGCAGCCCCGGTCCAAGGTTATTTATTTATTTATTTAAATGTCTACCCCGCCCCAGCAAGCTTCCGTAGCAGAACAGAGATTCGAACCTGGGTCTGCCAGATCCGGGCCCAGCACTCCAGCCACGACACTCGACTGGCTCTCCGTTGACATTAAGCACTTAAAACAATGAGAGTCTGCAGCGGGTTCAGTGCAGGT